TTTCAGATAGAGGAATATGTTTCAAAATCTATAGCCTGCAGGGTAACTATAATAATAATAATAATGTATATTTTAAAATAACTAAGAGAATAATGTGACATGTTAATTAGCTTGATTTAATCATTCCACATTGTACACATATATCAAAACATATTTTATCTCCTCAATATATATAGCTATGATTTGTCAATCAAAAATAATAGTAATAATTGTTTAAATATTATTTTAAAATATTTTACCATAGTATGAAAGAATGCCCATAATTGCCTGAAAAAGGTATTAATGTATTCTTAGATTCTCCAACTATACATACATGTATTGTACAATTTTATAAACAGTCTTACTTATACTTATTTAACTTGACTTTCCTATTTCAATCTAAAATAATTTATTATAATACATCAAATGCAGAGGCAGAGAGAGTAGTCTATTGCAAAAATGTAAAACAATGCCAATTTTCTTCCTGAAATTTTTCATTTTGAAAATGTTATTTTCCTGAAAATATGTTCTTAGATATTAATAGCTTTATTATTTTTTGTTTTTTGGCCATACTGGGCTTTTGAACTGTAGGCACTCTGCTACTTGAGCCATACCTCTAGCCCTTGCTGCTTTTTAATCATTTTTCAGGCAGAGTCTAGCACTTTTTACCTAGATTGGCCTTGGATTGCAGTCTTCCTACTTATACCTCCCTCGTATCTGGAGTTACAGGTGTTCACCACCACATGTGGCTTGTTTAAAATGGAGTCTCATTTTTTGCTTGGGTTAGCTTCAAACTATGATCCTCCCCATCTCTTCCTCCCAAGTAGCTAGGATTACAGATGTGTACCACCATGCCCAGAACAAATTGCATATTTGAAAATGTCAAGGTTGTGGAAAACAACAGCTGCAGAGGATCCCTTACAGATGAGAGGATACTAAGGAGAAATAACTAAATGCATACAGGGTCCTGGATAGAATCCTGAACGTGAAAGGACACAGTAGAAAAACTGTAAATAATAATAATATTATTATTATTATTATTACATTTTTCATTATTGTGTCAATGTTAATTTACCAGTTTTGATTGTTTTACTGTGATTATATAAAATGCTAACAATTATCAAGCTGGGTGAGGAATAAAAGAAAAGACTTTGTGTACTACTTTTGTAACATTTCTGTTAAGTCTAAAATTAGTTCAGAGTAAAAAGTTAAAAAGCAAATAAAAGTCCTACTGCCAAAAAATAGGACTCCAAGCTGGAAAATTACTGAGGCAGAGGCCAAGCCTGGAGCTAGCTATTCTTAGCTTCTAGTACAGAGTGAAGATTAGAATCAGAAATAAGGGACAAGAGAAAGTAATTTACAAAGAGCCTCCAGGTCCCTAGAAAACAAAACCAAGCATCAACTTAAAAGTAGAAGGGTTTTAGTGACTGGGAAATCAATTGGGGGGTGTTGCTTGTGGGGGTTGCTGAGTGACAGAAAGGAGACTGGAAAGGCAATTGCTTTGCTAGACCTTAAATGATACAGATGCCAGTCTGTAAACTAGACTTTTCTGTCCAAATGAATTCCATATATCAGAACTGCCCTTTCTTAATGTGAGATTAGTTTAATTGTGTCGTAGTTACTCATTTGTAGCAGAAAATTGTGTATGCAATATAAACACATAGGATTTTTTTTTTTTTTTGGCGGCCCTAGGGTTTGAACTCAGGCCCTCCAATTTGCTAGGCAGGCATTCTACCACTTCAGCTCCTCCAACAACTCAAGACCTAGAATTTTTTTTTTCTTTTATTATTCATATGTGCATACAAGACTTGGTTCATTTCTCCCCCCTGCCCCCACCCCCTCCCTTACCACCCACTCCACCCCCTCCCTCTCCCCCCCCACCCCCTCAATACCCAGCAGAAACTATTTTGCCCTTATTTCTAATTTTGTTGTAGAGAGAGTATAAGCAATAACAGGAAGGGACAAGGGTTTTTGCTGGTTGAGATAAGAATAGCTATACAGGGTATTGACTCACATTGATTTCCTGTGCATGGGTGTTACCTTCTAGGTTAATTCTTTTTGATCTAACCTTTTCTCTAGTACCTGTTCCTCTTTTCCTATTGGCCTCAGTTGCATTTAAGGTATCTGCTTTAGTTTCTCTGAGTTAAGGGCAACAAATACTAGCTAATTTTTTAGGTGTCTTACCTATCCTCACCCCTCCCTTGTGTGCTCTCGCTTTTATCATGTCCTCATAGTCTAATCCCATTGTTGTGTTTGAAGACCTAGAATTTTTAACACAAGCCTAGCAGATATGCTGCCACTCAATTCCATTAATCAGGCATATGATAAATTGTATTATTTCTTGAGTATTGCATTAAATCAAAAGATTTTATAGCAAAGGTTTGTATTGATTTCCAGTCTTTTGTTTATATAGTGCACCAGCCTCCATTTTTCTTTCTTCCCTCACAGGAGTAACATAAGTTTTACTTACAGTCTTCTTCCAAAGAATTAGTGCAACTTTAGTCATGTCAGACTTGTTTTGTATAGAGTTGTTTTAATAAAAAGCTAAGAGGTTTAACATAAGAAAACTTGCAATGAAAAAATTACTAATGTACAAAAGAAATAGCTAAAAATGAAATGTAAATAAATCATTTTGAGATATAAGAATTCATTAAGGAAAACAGTTTAACTTGTTGATTTATTGAGGGTAGACTAACTCTAAGCCATTTCTAAAAAGTTAAAACAATAATGAGTATAAATAACTTCCTCAAAGTTGTAGGGAGTACTTTATAAGTCAGTCATTGAGCAATAGTACAATAAGATACTAAAAAAAGAAACCCTGTACTTCTAGATTTGCTTCATATTTTTATACACAGGAAAAGTTGTAGATGATATCAAAAGACAGTTCTGGTAAAATACAAAATGTTTTTGATAGATTGTATGTATGTATACATTCTGCATAGTTATTGAGTCACATTGCAAATCTCAGAAAGCTATTGAGTGGTTTTGTACCTGAATTCTGCAAAGTAATCAAGACCTTTATATTTAGGATGCTAAAGAAATATTTAAAAGTAAAAGTAAAATAACCACAGAAGGCTCACCTGTAACATTGACCTTTGTTAAATGAAACCTTCAGCCAAGTATACATGATTTTTAATGAAATCAGTAAAAGTACTCGTTTTCTAAGTTTCAGAATTTTTTATCTTTAAAATTATATCCTATTGCTTTAGATAAAGGACAAAATATAGCAGATCTGCCTTGCTGTTCTTAGCCTTGGCATGTGGAATCAACTGAAATAAAATACAAAATTTCATATCATTTCAGAAGTTTGCTATTTATTTTTATCAAGTGAAAATTTGTATCCATGCAGACAGTTACCACCGATATTCACTGTTTATTGAGAGGACAGATCAATTGCTAAACAGGTTCTCTTTGGTTTTATTACATTATCTTTAAGATAGATAATGTAATATCTAAAGAAAACATCTAAAGAAAAGAGTGGAGATTTTTTTAATACATCATCTGATTTCCAGTTTCCATATTATACTCAGACTCTATTGCTTCACTCACAAGCAATTCCTCTCTTCAGCTTTATATGTGTAGTAACAATTCCCATGCTGTTTTATTTGTGTGTGTGTGTTTAATGAGAAGGATTTCAGGTGGTTTTTTTTAATGGCATTTCTATCGTGTGGTAAAGAGCTAAGGGAACCATACTTACAGAGAAGGTGTCTTTTCAAAACCAGACTTTTCCATGGATGACTGCTATCTGAGAGTTGACTGAAGAATGGCATGCCCTGCAATGTGTCCATGAGTGTCACTGGAACAAGTTCCATTTGCCTATAGGCACAAAGCTAGTATCCAAAAAAAAGAGAGAGTATACAGAACTTTGATGAGTGAGGAGGAAGGTAGAGGAGGTGATGATGATGATGATGATAGTGATATCAGTTGTTGTTACTGCTCATTTACTACCTGTTGAGCACCACACTAAATTCTTTCCATATATCAAGCTGAACCTCCTCTGCCAATATCATATTTTCTACATAGTCTTATCACTATTCTTGGTATTAATAAGAGTGATCTATATTAAAATCACCCTCTGATCTGGTGTGGTGGTACACACCTGTAATCCCAGCACTTGGGAGGCTAAGGTAGGAAGACTGTGAGTTCCAGGCCAGCCTGGGACATAGAGGAATACCCTATCTCAAAAAATATCATAAATACAATGTACCCACACCAACACAACAATAAAAAAAAATACTATGTACACACACACAGAGAGACACACACTCTGTGTGTGTGTGTGTATTATATATATGTGTGTGTGTATATATATGGTATGGAAAGAACTCTGCAGATTCAAAGACAAAACCATGACCTAAAACTCCAGGTTCTAGACAAGCAGCCTAGATCCTAAATGTTATTAGGACTCATGATTATTTTTTTTAAGTTCTTTAAAGTGAAGATCTGCATCTAATAAAAATTCCACCCCTTCTTCCTTTTATCTAATTTTGATACTCAATTCTGATACTCTCTTTCTCTGGGTATGGGTTCTTAGAAAATATTTGTTGATAAATTTAAAATCTGAATTGTTTTATTTTTATAAGGCTTAAGTTATAACAGAACTATAATCAAAATGTGATGTAAGCATATGTATTTATTGAGACTAACATGATTTGTCTCTGGTTATTTTATTCCTAATACTTTGTTACAAGATTAGACTCTCCTCCTGTAGTTCTCGATGCTGAATAAATGCTAGCAATATTAATTTATATCTTTATTCTCAATCTTCCTATATCTTACAACCCACAAGGAAAATTCAGTTTTTATTTGAGGTTATGTCATATGCACAATGACAGAAATATCATATCTAATTTCTGATCTTACATAAATCAGACAGTTAAGTTAGCAGCTTTTCTTTTTACCTGAAAAGATTGAGGAAAAATGGGGAACTAAAACACAGTATTAAAAATGATCAAATAGTAACCAGAGCTACTGCTTTTGCCACTGATAAGACCATTTACAATCTCATCTTCCTTTTGTAGGTGGTTGCCTATCACTATTGCCAAGCAGATAACGCCTATACCTGCCTGGTCCCAGAATTTGTCCACAATGTTGCTGCCTTGCTCTGCCGCTCACCTCAGCTGACAGCTTACCGGGAGCAACTTCTTCGGGAGCCTCACCTTCAAAGCATGCTGAGCCTTAGGTCTTGTGTTCAAGACCCCATGGCCTCCTTCCGGAGGGGAGTCCTGGAGCCCCTGGAGAATCTCCACAAAGGTACAGATGAGGTCCAAAGGAGAACAAGGAGCCCCAGTCACCTGGTCATGCTATAGAAATTATTATTTTTATCACATTCCCAAAACTGAATGTTCACTAGCTGATGTCCTGCAAGATACAGTTAACAGATAAAAAATTTTACTTGGGTGGGCATGATGGCACATGACTGTAGTCCCAGTACTTGGGAGGCTGGGGCGAGACGATTGCTTGAGTCTAGGAGTTCGAGGCCAGCCTAGGCAGCATAACAAGACCCCAGTTCAAAATACATACATATATTTTTTTAATTTGGAAACAAACTAATTCCTGCAATAACTTTTCCAAATGTAATTCATTTTTCATATATTAATGATAGCAGAGCTTCCATTCCTTTCTGTGAAGTTCAAAAAATTAGTGAAGTTGTAGCTCCAACTTGATATTGTAGCTTCTATGATTAGAAACTCCCTGATTTTTGCATATTTTTTATTACCTTGTCAGTTCGTGAAAACCACTCATGATTACACATGACAGTATTTATAATAGAAATCACTTAATTTTTTATTTTGAAAGGTAACAAAAAGAATAAGGCTATTTTATGGTTCATAAATTATATCAGGAAAGCTAATTTTTAAAGTGAAAATACAATTAAATGGAATCTGTATCCCACTCATGTTCATGCCTTTCCTTCCCTTTCTTGGCAGCCCTAGTGTCAGCTGTGGACTAAGTACAGCCATCTCCACAAAGACAGTGCACACCTTCATTAAATCTCTCTTCCCTACATTGTAGAACCTTCATGCATGGACATATGGTTCCAAGGAGACCACCATTTAGGAAAAGCTGTGATGCTTGATTCATTTTTCCCATAACATCACCCACTTTCCACTAAAGACATGTCACCTTTCAGCAAATCTAAATTTCACTTTATCAGTTAAATTAAGCACCTGAGGTGCTCCTTTTGGCTTGGGAGGATTGCCATAACTTTCACCTTGCCTTGGGGGCATGATTTACTTATTTGGGGAAGCATATTTTCACAAAATTAAGGGCAGGGAAACACTCAGCAGATCACACATGACTTAAAAACAACTGACAACATGGGGCTGACTGAGAGCTTCTCTGCATCAACTGAGCTGCGTAATGCATATGCAGGAATGTAAAGTTTTTGGTTTTAAATTTTCTTTTAATATATCTATTGAACACACTTGGTCACAACCATGTGTTATAAATTCAACAAGAAGGTGGGCTTACTGTAGCCTTAATGTTTTATCAGGTCTGGAAGCCGAAGAAAAGTATTTGAGTAAACACAAGATTCCTAAACAATCTTGCTTATTCCTGAGAGCCTTACATAGCTTTTTCAAAGGGTTTGAAAGTGCTGTAAGAAAAAGGTGCTTGCGATTTCTATTGTGTACATCATCTTCAGTTACTTCAACTTTGCTGAGTATTTAAATGTCAGATTTCTCTTCTCATTCTGATGACCTCTGTCTCTTGCTTCTACTACCTTTTAGCTTGACCATACCCTAGACCTCTTTAAACCTAGAATTTCTCCACAAAGATTTCCCCCCCTTGGCAGTAGTGGGGTTTGAAACTCAGGACCTTACTAGGCAAGTGCTCTACAACTTGAGCCATGACTCCAGCCCTTTATGTTTTAGATTATTTTTCAAATACAATCTCATGTTTTTTGCCAGGGTCAGCCCTGGACCATGATCCTCTTACCTATGCCTCTCACCTACCTGGGATTATAGACATGTACCACCACAACTAGCTTGTTTGTTGAGATGGGTTCTGATGAACTTTTTGCCTAGCCTGGCTTCAAACTGCAGTCCTTCTAATCTCTGCCTCTCTGCTATGATTACAGGCATGAGCACCCTTACCCAGCTCCACAAGTATTTTTAAGCATACTTTTTGTACATTCAGTTTGTCTTTTAAATCCTGTTAATTCTGCCTTCATGATGTTTCACACATTGATTTGTCTCAAACTTGTTCATACCATTATCACCCCAAGGATTACTCAACTACCTATAACATTATATCTGTATTACTACTCCTTCATGGTCGCTGGTTCTCTGGTTTAGTTCTTCATTCACATCATAACACCCTTAAAAATTATAAAAGTGTATGCAGCATACTTGGATAGAAGTTTAAGTTGGACATGACTGGCCTGAGGCTACAGCTGTGTCAGGCTCCAGATGCCCTAATGTCTAAGGGATATTTTTTTTTCACTGATTCATTTTTCCCAAGCTGATGTCCAGTTCCTGGGTTCAAGTGGTCCTTTCACTCCAGCCTCCCAAGTATCTGGGTCTGCTGCAGGCATGCACAGTTGCCCAGCTAATAGATTCATTTTAAACCCACTTCTAAACCCTCTCCAGTCCCTCCAGTCTCCTAGACTTTATGTGTTGCTTCCAGATAAAGCTTCAAGAAGCATTGCTCCATTCACTTAATTTCCTAGTTTACAACACGGTGATACCTGTTGCCTACTAAATTAACTCCCAACTCCTAGTCTGGTGTGCAAAGCGATGGCCTGCATCCAATCTACTTTCCAGCCTTGTATCCTTTTGACCCTTTATTTACATGTGAACTAAAATATTCACTAGTTCTTAAACACTCCCCTAAATTTTTCTGCCTCTACATATTTACTTTATTTCCTTTTCTTGATATACCTCTTTATATCTCTTCCTGTCAGAATTCTACATCTTCCACAGACCAGCTAAATGCCACCTCACTCATGAAACACCTGCTGATTCATACACACACACAAACACCAATCAGAAACAGTATCCATCCAAACTGACATTAGATCTTTCAGTATCTCAGTTGTGGTACTCAACACATTGTTATATGTATGTAAGAATTTAAAATTTTATCACCAACATATAAAAGAAAGAAAACCTTCCAACCAAGAAATGTTGGTGAGGATAATGAACAGCTAAAATTTATTCATTGCTTGTGAGACTATAAAATGGTACAACTACTTTGACTAACTACTTGCTAGTTTCTTACAAAGTTAAATGTACATCTATTTACCAATTCCTATATATTGACTCAATGGAAATTAAAATGCCTACAAAAAGGTTTATTCAAGAATATTTCTACTTCTATTTCCATTTTTATTCATAGTAATCAAAAACTGGAAACAACCCAAATGTCCATCAATAGAATGAATAAATAAATTATATATTTGAAATATTTTAGTAATAAAAAGGAACAAACTAATAATACACTCAACAATGTAAATGAGTCTCAGAAACATACTAAGCAAAAGAAGCAAATGTAGCCATGCTAACATAAATCAGAACAATGGTGGTTGCCTATTAAAGATTAACTAGAAGGGAACCTAAGGGAATTTTCTTTTTATTGCTGGTATTGCTCATATTAGGCAAGCACTCTACCACTGAATTACATCCATAATTCATAAGGGAATTTATTTTTTTAAGACCTGTGCTTGCTACACAGGTGCTCTACCACATGAGTTATGTCCCCAGCCCAGTAACTTTCTTAAATGATGGAAATGTTCTACATTTTAATCAGGATGCTGCTTATGAATACATATATTGGCCAGAACTCATCAAAGTAGTCATGTGCAGTGGCTCATGCCTATAATCCCAGCTACTCAGGAGGCAGACACTTGAAGGATCTCAGTTTGAAGCCAGCTCAGACAAAATGTTAGTTGCTTATCTCACCAAAATAAGCAGGGCATAATGGCACACACCTGTCATCTCCATCCGGCCCTTGGTATTAGGATCAAAGTCCGAGACTAGCCCCCAGTAAAAAGTACGACCCTATTTTCTAAAGCAAGGAAGACTGAAGACTTGGCTCAAGTGGTATTGTGCTTACCTAGGAAGTACAGGCCCTAAGTTAAAACCCCAGTGCCAAAAAAACTCATCAAAGTGTATAGCAAAAATATTCTCAGTTCCCTGCATAAATGCATACAGTTTTATTATAGTAATTTCAAAAATAGGTATTTCTTAAAGATAGCTACAGTTTTCTTTCCAAGAAAGTTTCATAGAGAACACTTTCAATTTAGAGTCAAATACTAAATTTAAATAATACATTTTTCCTTAAAAATGCTTTTCACTGTTTTTCACAGTGTAGTGGTTAAAACACATACCTATATATACATATATAAAACAAATGTAGAACTTTGTAAGTTTCTCAGTAGGCTTTTGCTTCAGCCACCAATATGAAGTGAAGGGAGAAGCTAATTTGTTGCCATAACTAAAAGAAAGAGAATTCAGATGTGATGTGAAGCTTTTCTCATTAAAAATTTTCTGATTTAATTAAAAGCTTTTCACTTTTAACAATTTCTATAAAGTATACTATGTAACAGAAGCTTATGTACTAGAATTCAATCTAACTTTTGTATTAGCTACCTTCTCTTATTCTTAATTCTCTCAGACACCTAGGTAAAATCTTAGAATGAGACTACTAAGGAAGACTGTTCAAGTATTTGTTAAGTATACATGTAAGTGGAGACAAAGGAAAATGTTATTCACAAGGAATTACAAATATGGATATAGGGCTTCAGAAACCTTTCCAAAAACTTGTGGGTACTGGAATGGCTCCTAAGCATCAGACCACTTAAAGTTTTCAATTAGTCCATCCCAGAAATAAGAAAATGGGGACTGCCTAGAGTTTGTGTAGATTTAAATATAATACAGTTTTACATATATGTGTATGTAAAAGTTAATGTCTTCTCATTTTTTAATCTTAAAATATTTTTATTCTATGAAATAATGGTGACAATATATGGTACTTGCATTTTAAATATTTTCACATCACAATATATGAAGTAGCAATCTTTTTAGTCCCCAAGTTGAATTTTTGTTTTTAAAATCCTTCAGAAACTACTGAGAGTATTAAATATCTACTGTAGTATTAAATATCTACAAAAGTTTGGAAATGAACCTGAAGCATTCTTACAAGCCTGGTTGCATTTGACAGGCAAAGTCAAAATCTCAAAAAGAGGACCAGAATTTAGAAGAATATCATTATACTCTACTGAAAATTTATACAAATTGAGATTTATTTTTATTTCCAAGTGAATTAATTCACTAAAATGTCTACATCATACTTTAGAACACATTCTTGATCTTTATGCTTAAAAATGTGTTTGCAGTGTTTTCAAAAGAAAAAATCTCTGCAGCTGTTATCATCAACCTTTTGCTCTACGTAAATATTTTGGCATTCTTAGGAAGGAACCTGAGTGAAGTTAAATGACATATATTTAAAGGATGGGGGTGATGGTGTATTGGTAAAATTTTTAGCAGATACCTGGGGAGGAAGGCTCATTTTAACATTTTCCAATTTCTGTTATGAAAATACTCTCACCATACCCAATTTCAGGCTACCAGCTATTTAAGAACTAGCTCTTGGAAATATTGCAGTTGGCTCTCCTGAACCCACACAGGACTTCCCCAGCAGACCACTGGGTGGTCCACTAAGTAGATACACTTGGAATATTCTTCTATGGAAATTAAAGACACAGTCAAGCTTAAGGGAGCCAGAGTCCTCAAAATTAAGAACATAACAGCTTCTAGTTTTGTTGATAAATTCCACTTAGTCCCAAGTAGTTCCTCTCTTTTCCTTAATTCTTTGGACTTTCCAAAGGAATACTGTGTTTCTTAGCGCTACATCATCTAGAATGCTACTTTATTAATAATCTTTGTTAAAAGTTAGAGCTGAAATCCATAGTTCATTTCTTTACTAAAACATAACCACATGAAAATAATAAAAACGCTTCATAATTTGAGACCTGATTTATACTATTTAGGATATTGAAATTAAGTTCCTTTATACCAAGCATGTGCTTTGTGGGGAGGGAATCTAAAGGCTTATTAATCATTGCAAAAGATCTCTGTGTGTTCAAATGTGAAGGCAAAGTAGCACAAATAATTTCATTGTTTTTGACTCTTTTAAAAGTAAAAAGAGCAAGTCTTGTACAGAAGTCCACAGACTTTTTATTTTGAACCTAGCTTTATTTCTTTTGTCAGACATCTAATGATTTCTTGCCCTCTTTCCCTCTGCTTTCCTCCTTTCAGAACATATAAGGCCCTACTAACTAATAACTTTTATTCGTACCTCACAATTTGTTTATAGTAAAATGTTCATTCAATTTGAGGATTTAAAAAAAAAACTTTTTTATTGTTCAATGTTGTTCAAGAATTGACAAACATTTAATGAGTTCTCACTAAGCCATCTTCTTGGCCTAACCCTGAAGATAAGCTTATTTATCAGTTGTGGATTGGTAGAGTCTAGGAGGTGGTAACTGGGCACCTAGCAGATTTGTCTCTCCCACATGACTCCTCCGCTGGGAAGATCACACAAGGACTGGTCTCATTGAGGTTGCTTTCAATATAGTCAAGAAACTGCTAACATCTTGGGATCAAACCTTCCTGTTCAAGTCTGTCTATTGTTTGGAGTCCTTATCTCTGTTCCTCCTCCTCTCTTTCCCCATATACATTCACATATAGTCCTATCTACTACTACAGGCTTTAAATTGGACCTTTTTTTGAGAAATTCCCAAAAGAACATGTGAAGTTATTCTCTTAGTGCTATCAGATAAGAAAAAACTAATACTCTATTTAACTTTACATGTATGACAGAGAAAAAGGGGTGCAAATTCTCATAACTTCAGTCTATATCACAACTGATAATATGGGGATTTGTGAAAATGTGCTCATACATATGACAAAAGTTTTCATACCTGGTGAAAAATCAGATTAATTCAGTAAGTGAATTATTATGAATTACTTCATGTCTTTATAGTAAGTTATGTACCCTGAGTGTTTTAGGCCTCATGAGAGGCCTGTTCTAATATTTTTTTCATGACAGATAACGTGATCAAATACCCAATAAGAACTCACTTATCTACATGGTAATCATAAAGTAATTTGTTTCTTTCTATCTCAGAGAGAAAAATACCAGATGAAGATCTCATCATTTTAATTGATGGATTAAATGAAGCAGAATTTCACAAACCGGATTATGGGGATACAATTGTATCATTTCTGAGTAAAATGATTGGAAAATTTCCTTCTTGGCTCAAACTAATTGTAACAGTTAGAACCAGTTTACAGGTATGTGTTTGTTTGCTTTTGAACCATAAATTATTTTCCTTGGAAAACACAAGTGAAATAGTTCTAAATCATAGCTTCCTTAGCAATTCTTTCCAGACTTCTGCCATATCTGAGAATATTAGCAAGAGTAATTCCCAAAGAGAGTAAGAAATATGATCTAGAAACAGTATTCTCTCTATATATGATTCTCAGATTCCCATTACTCTGGATAATATTTGGTAAAATGTCCCTTAAAGTAGCATGAAAAGGCCAGATGTGCTGGCATATATCTGTAATCCTAGCATAGGGAGGCAGAAGCAGGAGGATCGTGAGTTGAGGGTAGCCTGAACTATTTATAAAGACCCTGTCTCAAAAATTAATAATAATAATAACATAAAAACAAAGCATTTTCTAGAGCGTCCTGAGAATAGCAGTGCAAAGAAAATGCAGTTCTTTGACTTTTATTTCACAGTTTTTATCATTTAATGCCATGCAAAGTCCAGTACAATCTGCAATCTAGAGTCAGATTTTCTGGTTATTCCCTCTGCTTCTATTTAAACAACTTTTCTGTAACGTGAAGGTAGACGTGCTTCTGAATATGCCTTTCTCTGACAAAGGCAGTGTTAGGGATTTAGATTAAATTTATTGCAACTGAGAGATAAGAGTTTTGTTTTGCTTTGTTGTTTTAAATTATCTCCCCTGCTCACTCACTAATCACATAATGGTCTAGAAGGACCAGGAATGTGAAACTGAACTTATAAAAATATATGGCTAAGGAAAAATGACTCCATCTTCCATCATTCTCATTATAGCTGAGTTGGTATCTCCCATTTATGCTTACCTCATGTGTGGTTTGGAGCAGTGTTTCACAACCTTTTCAAAAAAATTCTCTCTTTTGATGAATACCAGAATCTTATTATATGCCCATCCCACTATTTTGATGCAACCCATTTGTAATAATTTGTAATAATTGCTGATACATAGAAGTCTCTTCTTTTCCTTTCTCCCACACTCTCAGTATTATTCCTACATCATGACCAATTAGATTTACAGACTTCTGTAATCAGAAACCATATTTGTAATCCTCACCATCACCTTGCAGATGTTCATTATTAATCTCAAAGTAATTTGAGTTAACGGATGCAGATCAATGTAAGTGCATTTTACAGCTAAAAATTTTAACCTATTATTACTGGTCAGTAGTTTTATTGTTAAAGAATAAACAGAAGAAACCTCCATGATCACAGTGTGACCTTTTTTTTTTTTTTTGGAGACAAAGTCTTACTATGAAGCCCAGGCTGGCCTCAAACTCAGGATCCTCCTGTGTAAGGCTCCCAATTGCTGGGATTACAGGCATGTACTGTCATGCCCAGCTACAATTTCTGACTATTTTTACTAAATGTAAGATCAGGCAATATTATCCCCAAATATATTTTCATATAATATCATATGCAATTGCAGAATAAATTTAAGTATGTCTGAGTAAAGCAGATAACTTTGATTTTTCAAATATGCCAAAGTACAGAAAAAGTACTATGCATATTCATGTACGAAGTCCAAATTTCAATGTCTTCTTGGATAGAAATCTACAGTAACTTACTTCATTCTCTTCAGCAAAGAATTTTCAAAAATTATTTTCTTTATGAACCCTCATATTTGATTATTCTTTATTTCCACAAACATTTCTTAAATATTTAGTGTATGTCAGGCACTGTTCTAGAAACTGAGGATTCACCGGTGAACAGGGCACACAACACCCTTACTTTCAAAAAGCTTATATTCTAATAGGAAACAAAACAAAAAAATAAGTAAAAAGTTAGACATATACTAAAATTGCAAGTAGTAAGTATGATGAAGAAAAATAACATAGGGCAAAGGTGTGAATGGAAATGATAGTTTCCATTCACAGGAAAGACCTCTCCAAAGAACCTTACAAGTGGCAAGATCTGATCTACCTTTTTAAAAGGTCTGCTCTTTAAAAGGTCTGCTCTGTCTCTGCTAACTATATAAATAATAAAATGAAGGGGATCAAGACTGCAAGCAGAAATAACAGGTGAGAAGTGATGGTGCTTAGGCTAGAGCGATAATTGTGGAGACCATGTGAAGAAATCATATTTGAAGTAAATATATTGTGAAGAGAGGTAAAATGACTTTATGAGTCAGGTATGATGGCGTACACCTGTGATCGCAACACTAGGGAGGCTGAAGCAGGAGGATTACAAGTTTGAAGCCAGCCTGGGCTATATAGCAAGACCTTGTCTCAACAAAACAAAACAAAAAAGAGTGATGATGATGATGGGCTGATTGTAGGTATGAGCAAGAAAGAAGATTCAAGAATGAATCCTGGAGTTTTGGTGAGCAAATAAGCAACTGCTGTCTTGAGGATAAAAGAAAGATCACAGATACCTCTGAGGACTTGGTGGTAGGGTCCATTGTAATGTCATTTATTGACATGTAAAAGGTTTTATGATCAGGGGCAGAATTCAGTAGCTCTGATTTAGACAACTAATTTTATCTTTGAAACATCCAAGTATAACTGTTGGGTTGAGAACTCTGAGAAGATAACTAAGCTGGCAACATGAAGTTAGGCATCATTTACCTATTAGAGGTTATTTAGAACCATTAGTCTAAATAAACTATGTATGTCTGTGCAGCCTAGCTGAGAAGAAATTGATACAGAAGAAAGAACAGGTATTTACAGGAGCAAAGTCTATGAGTAGATAAGAAAGAATGGAATCCAGTGGATAAGATTCACCCCAGCACCCTCCGCCAAAATAATTTCCAAGCAGATCACCAAAGGAAGAAGCTTTCAGTTCAGGCATCTCCAAAAGGCCTGTTAAATGTAGTCATTTTATTGGGAGGATTAGAAAGTCACTTTTTTTTTATTTTTTAGTAAAAGCCACATTCTTACATGGCATTCTTTGAATCCTTAAACATTTCTCTTACTGAATTGTAGTTTGGCATTATGCCATGGTTTGTACTGAGAAAAATTACAGTGAGTGATTTATACAGCACTCCATTTTCTACTTATTTTAGAAGGGTTGTTTAGAATACTAACCATGAAATCACTCCTAAAGTACCTTTACAAAGACCCATAAAAAATTACCTTAAGTTTCAATGTAAGGAAAGGTAGTATCCTTTCTATGCAAGTAATTCATTGGTTCTGGGATTTGAACTCAGGACCTTGTGCTTGTTAGGAAGGCACACTACTGCTTGAGCCATGCCCCCAGCCCAAGTAATTTGTTTTAATCTATGAATGCTAATACTTTATCATGTTTCCCTCTTTTCTTTGGCCACTCAGAAGTTCAGAGTAAATTTGTGGACCTCATAGTTTTATCACAAGAGTTAGGGGAACTGAAGGTCTTTCTGTCTCTCTCTCTCTCTCCATCTGTTTTAGGAAATTACCAAGTTGCTGCCTTTCCATAGGATTTTTTTGGATCGACTAGAAGAGAATGAAGCCATAGACCAGGACCTGCAGGCTTACATCCTGCACCGGATACACAGCAGCTCAGAGATCCAGAATAACATTTCACTTAATGGCAAAATGGACAATACTACATTTGGCAAACTCAGTTCTCATCTCAAGACCCTCAGTCAAGGGTCCTATCTATACCTGAAACTCACATTTGACCTCATAGAAAAAGGTTATCTAGTGTTAAAGAGTTCTAGCTACAAAGTAGTTCCTGTTTCGCTCTCAGAGGTTTATTTACTCCAGTGCAATATGAAATTTCCAACCCAGTCTTCCTTTGACCGGGTAATGCCTCTCCTGAATGTGGCAGTGGCCTCTCTCCACCCACTGACTGATGAGCATATCTTTCAGGCCATCAATGCTGGTAGCATTGAAGGCACACTAGAATGGGAAGATTTTCAGCAGAGAATGGAGAACCTATCCATGTTCCTAATCAAGCGCAGAGACATGACTCGTATGTTTGTACATCCTTCTTTTCGAGAATGGCTTATTTGGAGAGAAGAAGGGGAGAAAACCAAATTTCTCTGTGATCCCAGGTAAGATATGGATCTGTGATAAGCAGTTCTAAGCCTATTTTTTTTTATTTACTGCATGGAGCATGGGTATTGAAAGTAATTGAGAAATGTTCTTCATTGAACATTGCCCAAAGAAGAGACACGTCATCTGTTTCTTCTCAAGGCAAGGCTATGATAAAGTTTAGTAATGTATTTTATTACAATGTTATTTCCTGAAGATGAAGATTCATCATCTGCATAGACATTTTAGAATGCTATCCAACACTCCTGTGTTTTCCTAAATAATTTTCACTGACCCCACTAGAGATTACAGGCTATAATTGAATTAGCCATTTAACAGATTTTCTCAGCATTCTTCAGATACGAAAAAAGCATTGGCATATGGTTCATCTCTTTGGCTTAAAGAAGAATTATTTTTTTAAGTTGTTATTACTCTTTTAAAAATAGAATCTTAAACCCTATAGGGTGAAAAAAACTTCAAGTGATCAGATGTTCTAGGTCTAGTGCCTTTAGATAAGTAAGTTGTCGTTATCTTCATTTTGCTATTAACACCTTAAAAATGCTGAATCATCTTTATAGATAGGAAAAAGGAGGAGGAACTAAAATAGAGATGGCAAATACATGTCACATACCACCACCCCCCATTCTGCATCCATGGCTGTCTGCCACTTATGTATACCAGCACTCTTTCCTGATGAATTTTGACCTTGACCTGAGAATCTTCCTCAACTCAACAAACCAGACTAGATATGAAAATACTTTCCATTCTATTGGATAGAAACTCTAGTGTCTGGCATGCTAGTGGGTTTTACTTTCTATTCCTCCACACTACCCTTTTTTGTGAATCATTCCTTTAATAAAGTAAGCATTTTCAAAAGTGTGTATTACTGATTTCCTGGAAATAGAGAAGATACCAGCAACAGAACTGGCAAATTCAGAGCTTATTGTGGCTCAGAAAGATAGACCAAATTTGGCTATTCCTCATACTGTGATTCATCAGAGAGACTAAAACTGATGGGGCTGGGGTTTTATTACCCCTCTGACAATGTTCTTCACCAGACCTTACTAAAGACAACTATGCTTGTGGGCATGCTTCTCAACCTACTTCATGCTGACTCATTAGAAAATTAGTTCCACATTCTAATGGTGATACTAAGCCAAGCTGTAGATTTTGTGGTATTTTTCCTGAGAGGCAAAGTTTTATAAAGAAATGTGTTATAGTGGAAAGAACAGGAACTATTGTGTCAGATAATACACATGTAAATTCTGCCTCTTCTAGAAACTGTGACTTTTGGAAAAAGTTACAATGATTCTGAGACTTAAGTTTCTTACTTACATAAAAGCAATAATAATGTTTTCTTAGAGTTGGTGAGAATTAAGCAAGGCCTTGTATTTTACAAGGCCTAGAATAATATAGAGTACAAAGAAAGTATTCAGAGTATGTTCTTTTGCTTCCCTTCTCTTTGTAGTAATAGAACTTTCAGGTGTGCCTTAACTAAATCTTGTGATTAGATAGGCAGAACATTCTTCTGCTGTTAACACTTGGGGGCCCAAGATTTTTAACATGTAGGAAAAAACTGAGTCTCAGTCTTTTGCATGAATTTTATGACAGTCCCTAAAGGATTTTAATATAAAGTAGTCTCCTTCTTTATACATTCTAAGGCCTCTAGTGGCTACCTGAAACTGTAGATAGTATCCAACCCTATACATATTATAGTTTTTTCCTATTCATATGTGCCTCTAATAAAGTTTCATTTAAAAATTAAGCACAGTAAAAAATAATAATAAAATCAAGCAATTTAATAAAAGTTACGTAAATGTGGTCTCTCTCTCTCAAAATATCTCATTATACTTTCATGTTTTCCCTTCACGGAAGCACTTTACAGCTTCTTTTTGATTAATCCAAACTGTCAGCAACACTACTCTTTGGCTTTGGGCCATTATTAAGTAAAGTAAGTGTTACTCAGAAGCAAGCATTGCATTACCACAACTGTTGATCTGATAAATGAGAGGGCTATTAAGTAAGTAATTAATGATGAGTAGTATACACAGCAAAGATACACTGGACAAAAGAATGGCTCAAGTCCTAGGCAGGATAGAGTGGGATGGCATGAGATTTCATCCTGCCACTCAGTACAGCACATAGCTTAAAAACTTATGAATTATTTATCTCTGGAATTTTCTGTTTAATTTTTCCAGATTGCAGTTGACCCTGGGTAACTAAAACGATGGAAAGTGAAACTACAGATAAGAGAGAATTACTATAAATTTTACTAGTACTATTGCTGATGCTTAATACATAGAGTTGACAACCACTACATAGTTAAGAAAAAGACTAACCTAGAATTACCTAGTAAACATCTGAGGTCATTTCAGGACAAACCCTTGCTAACTTATCTGTCCTATCCAGGAACATATCAGGATTGAAAGATAGCTGGGGTCCAACACAACAGACTACCACAATAACAATATCTTACAGAGGATGAAATCTTCAGGGGCTCCCAAAGTAGAAAATATGGTTTTTATGCATCTGTATCATGGCTGTATAGGCTTGCTTTCCTCATCATTGTTTATTAACTAGGAGCATTGCAGCGATAGGCTGATATCCTGAGACAAGAAAAGCAAACATTTCTAACTTCAATGCTGGGTAGTCTGTCTCCTGGTGATTGAATAACACAGCTGCTGAGAGGTCATCACATTTCACTTAATGACAAAGAGTAAAATTATAAACAAGACCAGGAGTTATCAAAAAAGTTTCCTTAGATTGGAATTCAGCCTCCTCCCTAGCAGTGGCCAGTACTAGCCTTATTACTCAAGTATTAATCTCAGAGTTTGAGGCCCCCTGGGTTAATGAGATGGAAATTCACTCAACATTTAATGCTATTGGGAGAGCCTAATCTGGCCTTTCAAAGAAGCTGGCTGCAATTCCTTTCCATTTGAGGCTGATCTGATTAGTAAGACTTGAGGCAGGGTTTGTCTTTATAGCTTTCACCCTCCACTTTATACACATTGTTGCCACCAAGCATCTGATGTATTTCAGTAGACCAGAGTAGTCCAACTCAGTGTCTCTTAAAATCACACCAGATAAACCAGTGCCTAACGTGAATATGTTTAGGGAGATTCTGGGAAGCAACACACCAAACACCCTTATCTCTTTCTCCTGGGCTTTTGACAATCAGTTTTTCAACCTGAACTTGTTGGCCTTTTTAGGGAATTAGACACAGATGCAAATAGCCTACTGATACCAAAAAGTGGTTGATTTTCCTCAGAAATAGCCCACCTTTGGGCTACTGCCTGAGCTGAAAATAGCAATCTAAGGATGAGGGGGGAGGCGAGTAGCAGAGCCAGAAATCAGTGCTACAGCTGAGGTTGAGTTTTCTTTATTTGAATTATCAGTCTCCCGTCTCAGAATCTGGACAGAGAATTGACATACCAGAGACAATAGTCTAATGTTGCATCAACATATAATTGTGGCAGAAAGAAACGACTTCTAGATAATATCCTTTCCTGGCTTGGTAACAGAGTAGGGATTGTGTGCTTTTTATCAAACTATAAGTATCACTGAACAGTTGTTTATATCATCAAAATGTATTTATGACATCAAAGAATGTTGGATTTTCATCCTAGGTAAACATATGCCTTTTAAGCACTCACAAGCCTTAGACCTCACTAACTTACTCTGTTTCCCACAATTCATCATTGTCATGCCCTGAACTCACTTTGTCCTGTTTTATTCCCTTAGGCACTGAGATACAGTTGAACACACTAATCTAATAAACTAATCCCTGCTATTATGCTAATAGTAGGAGGTAGAAACCCATTTGAGGCAACTTGTACATTTTAAGCTGTTTGAAAGAGGTAGGCAACAGTCTTTGTTATCCAGCCTATTAGTGACTTTGATCATAGAAATTTGAAGCTGATAAAGTAGACAATTATGGCCACCATGTTTGTGGTGCTAATTACTGTTTAAGATTTCTAAATAGTGTTATGCTACCCTGAATAAATTTCCACTTTTTTCTGTTTACTTTCTGCATTATCTTGATTTTCATGGTGTCTAGCGTTCCCCTCCCCAGGAACAATTCTCAGATTAACATTTTGCAGTGCGGGGGTGTGTAAGATTTTGACATAGAAATTAGAACACTAGGCTACTTTATTTTTAAATATTTGGATAAAGCAGAGGAAGCTTATTGCAAAGTTTATATAATGAGTACTGAGCTGATACAGCCTATATGACCTATGACATTGTGGTATGGAAGCCTAATTTGATTTGGCCTGCTAAAAGTAGCAAATGTTATGGTGAGTGAATAGAGGAGTATAAGGATAGTTGATTCTTTATGACCAGAACTGACTGCTTATAATTAATGGTTTGTTGATATTTTTCCTGATTTATTTGACCATGAATTATAAATTCACTTAGTGAATTATACATTGAAGACCTAGTACTCCAAAATCTGTTCCACAAAGCAAGGTATCAGAAAAGAAGCAGTTGTCTAAGGTAAAAAAAGAGGACATCCTCCCCAAAATGAAAATTAACTGTGCCAGAGGCCTGTATAACCTGGCTACTTAAAGAATACGTGGGTCTCAAATGGTCACAAAATGGTGAATTTTAGTTTGTGATGATTTTTGTTGTTACTGTTCTTTTAATCCAGGTCTGAACATCCAGGCATAATAACATTTAACCTTACCCTCACTGAAGCTCAGGGGCATTGCTTCTGATAGCTGCTGCAGATTTCCATAATAAACCCTTAAATTGGGGGATGGATTCTGATTTTAAAAAGCATTAGGAGAAAGTTCAACAAAACAGTGAAGCATGGAAAAAACAACCAGAAAAATCTTGGAACTAAATCAGCCCTTATGAGGTTTGAAAGAGTTAAAGCAAAAGAAAGGGGAGGTATACCAAACATCTTTTGCTAGCACTTGACTATTGGTAGGTGACCTTGTCTCCCTGAAGTATTAGCTCTTTACTCTCTTTTCACTTCTAATTCTTCTCTATCTACCAGTAAGGGGAAATCAGTCTTCTG